ACACATGGAAAGCACTTAGCCAGAACCGACTCACAAAAGGGGCTGAAATCATGGTAGTTCCCCTTTTCCTTCCTACAGTATATTCAAATGCAATGTGATAACCACATCCAACAGGAAATAGGTCAAGTAAAAAGCTGACCAAGTCTCCAGATAAATATAATTCTTCTCCTCAACAAAAACTTTCCAGAAATAGTAGTTTGACTTTCACTGTCTAGCTATATATTATTCTAACCATAAGAACTTAAAGCCAAATACTAGGCGAGACATTTGCTGATGCAAGCTTGTGAGGCAGATACTTGAGATCACGTAGGAGACTGCATGTCCTTCCGTTAGAATTGTGCCATAGCTGTCCATGTTCTTAGTTTCTGTGACTACCTGGAGCAGGCAACCTTTTAGACATGGAGGGCCAAGTAGTTCCTTTTCATTACATTGGAGATTGGCGAATAGGAAGAAAGAAGGTACAAGAGAAAGCCCTTGTTCAATGTCATCTACTGCACATAATTTCCAAAAGCTCCCATTTTAGAATTAAAAGACTACTGAAAAAGCTAAAACCAAAAATCATTTGTATCTTATTGTAAATTGTCTTACACAGAATACTTTCCTTCTTAATACTCCAAAGAAAGCTGGAGGATTAGAAGTTTTGATCAGAAGTACAAGGAGTTGATCATAGGAATATGGTTAGGCTGGTCTAGACACTGATTTTGATCAAGTAAACCAAAAAAGAGAAGAATGGGCATATGAAGGACCTGAAAGGCAGGAAAAAAAAAAAAATAGAGCAGGAGAGACAGAAGTAGAAAATTGCAAAACTGTCTAGAGTTGATGGTCACTTCATGGAGTCACTAAAAGTCATTTTCCATACTTGGCCTCCAAAAAAAGGTCACCATTTAAAATGATAGGCAGGGCTGGCTGGTCAGCTCAGTTAGTTAGAGCACAGTGTTATAACATCAAGGTCAAGTGTCTGGATCCCCTTACTGGCCAGCTGCCAAACAAATAAAAAAATAGATAAAATGGCAGGCAATCATCAGTGAGAGTCCAGTGAGGCTGGCTGCCTGGGCATCTCTGCACCCATCAGGCAGGCAAACCTTGTTAAGTGCTCAGTGAAGGAAGGGCTGAATGACGGCCGACAGCAAAATGTCACCTCAGGACCCTGTATTGCTTGAAAGGTTTTTCACCATGTTAATACTTCATAAGCATCTCCCGTGTTCAGTTGCTTAGGCTACTCAATTGTCAGTATACATTCACTATTGTCAGAATGCATTCTCTGCAGCTACCACAAAGACACTATCTTGAAACGAAAATTTTCAGAGCACTCATTTTTTAGAGGTCCTCATGGTTTTACATGCAGATAGCTTTAATGGCTTGCCTATTTTTTAAACATGTTGACTTACCTGAATAAGATTACTGTCATGTTTGTAGCAGAAAATTTGAGTCAGAAACTATCTATCTGCCAGAGAGGCCCATCCAGTTATCCAGTCCTATCTCAGCACCTGCCACTTTATTTGTCTCCCCACATTATCCCACCAACCCTCAGATGACCAGTTATCCCACTGCTGACTCCCAGCACACCCCCTCCAAAAAGCAGTCCCCCTGTGCTCCATGGCATCCCCATTCCACCATAAACAAACTTCCTGCTACCTTCAGACTCTTTTTGGAATTCTCCCTCAGCCTTATCTTGGTTAACAACCACGTTACCATGGAGGACACTACTTCCTTTCCCCACAGATGCCCTTCTGTATAAATCACAGCACCAGAAGACATTCCCTAGACCCTTATCGCTGCTTTTAAACAATTGCTCTTCTACACTTGTAAAAAAATCCTTTCTTTTGTAAAGCTCACTTTATTCAACTCTACCTTTCTAGCATCTTCCAAGTGCCTTTTCTACAGCATTCTTTTTGTACCCAAGCATCTGCTTTATAGTTTTTAATCTCCACTCTACCTCTGTCAGCATCCTTTGTGAGTTAAAAGTCCATGTGGAAGTCGACTCAGTCCCTTAGCCTTGACCTCCTCAAGGACAGCAATTCCTCACTTCACTCTGTTTCAATAGGCCCACCCATGACACGCTCCGCATATTGTCATCAACTGCATTCCCATGTGATGACAACTCTCTGTTCTTGTTTTTTGTTAGCAATTCCTCACTTCACTCTGTTTCAATAGGCCCACCCATGACACACTCCGCATATTGTCATCAACTGCATTCCCATGTGATGACAACTCTCTGTTCTTGTTTTTTGTATGTGTGATAAGACATTCTACATTTTTCTTTCTTTTGAGTCTTCTAGTCTCTTAAACTCATCTTGTGACCTCTCATTCACTCCACTTTCTTTCCTAGACCCACAGAGTCCCTGTCATTTGCTTA